ACAATGTATTAATTTAAGTATTTTCTATGGGTATGTGGGTGTACACACATGTATATACTGGTAGAATTACATATATTCATACTTTGAATAATTCATGTTCACTTATTTAAATATAAAAAGATAGCAGGACAAGTTGATGAAGATATATATGTAATATTGATGGATAATTGATAATTTACATCATATGCTAAGATGGGTTTTTGTAAGATAGATATTTGGTAATTATTATATACACATACATGGGTTATTTTTGTGTGACAAAGTTAAAAGGTAACAACAATGGTATATTTAGAAAAGTCATAGGTATAGGTTTCTCTACATAAGGAAGGTGTCTGTTTCATTTCACTCAATGACTGATGGAGAAGAGGTGGGATTTAATAAGTTTACACCTCCTCCCACTCCTTTACAAATGAGTAAATCAAACTAACTATACACTGACAATTGCTTTTTATTATGCTTTTAAATATTTGTAAATACAATTCTTTCTGTCTGTCTGCTTGTTTGTATGTTCATGTCTTTTTTTACATGTTCGAAATAAATATCAAATATTCTATCTATCTTATCTGGTTGTAAATTGTAGCATATTACATTCATTTTTATATTTCTGAAACTTTACACACTAGTTTTATACACTGTAACATAAAACACATTTTACATTCTTTACATACTTAGTATAATACACATATTTTTATATTGTTAAATATTTTACATACTAGTGTTAAACTAATGCAGCATAATACACATATTTTTTATATTTTTACATTCTTGTTACTTTCACTTTATTACAATTCCCCATGCTATACATCAGAGTGATTTTAACATATCACAATTCCCTCCAGTGATCAATAAAGTATTTCTGATTTATGATAAAGTAACTTAATGATGGGACACCACCTGGCTCACCTGGTAGAGCAGGTGGCCGCCTACTCAGTTTCAACCCCCAGCCCCTCCGCTGCATGTCATTCCCCCTCTCTCTCCCCCCTTCACACCATAACTGTCCTGTCAAATACAGGCAAAAAAAACCTAAAATATCTTTAAAAAAGTATCTGCATATTCAAAGAACTGCTTCCATATTAGTGTTTTTGAAGACAAAAGTTTCAAGACATGATGCTCGGCTGCAGGATGTTTAAATTCCATAAATTTACAGTATGACTATGAACGGTTGCATACTGTGGCAAACTATAAGAAGTACAACACAAATCTCCACTGGCTGGGTGTCACTTCCTGCCATACCCAAATGACGTCAATGAAATTAACATAGTATGTAAATAGAAACAGAAACACAATAGAAGCCAATCATCCAATAAAAACGACCAGGCCACACGCCACGCTAGACACGTCACTACAAAGTAGAAACAACCACTTGCCGTGTGTATTTAAAGTTTATTAAACAGAAACTCCTTTAAAATGATTACAGTGAGAGTAAGACGAAATATATTTATATAAAGCACATGCATAAAAAGGTACAAAACAAATCTGATTGCCTCCAAACTCTCTGTAAATGGGATAATAAAACATCATTATATGGAACATACATAGCAGGTGTCATGCATGCTAAGATAAATAAAAGGCTAGGTAGTGTGTTGCATCGTGTGTGTGGACAGTAAGTCCCTCCAGGCCTGTGGTACTTTAACTTAGAGAAGATAAGGGTGACTTGGCTCTTTATTTGGGGATGTTGTGAATGACCGCTAAATACTGTATATATATAAACAGGAAGCTGGTTACAAGAAATGCTCTCACCAATAATTAACAGCTTCAAATTCAGATAAAATAAAAACACACTGCAGAAACAACCCAGCGGATAAAAACAAAAACAAAACAAAAACAGATTATATACTTATTATATAGTTTAACTAAAAGAGGAGAGTTAAAGAGCTCCCCTTACTGATGATTGCCTTCTGTATTACAGCACCAGATAGCACTTAGACAGTTAGAACAAAATACACCAAGAACACAGCATCCGCAATTAGTATGTTGCTTTTTCTGAGGAGGCAGAACAGAATACTTGACTTATGCTATGACCCTTTGACTGAAATCCATTTTTAAAGCATGATATTTTAATAGTTCCCACTCACAATACAGCTTTTTCAGAGTGGAAAACTGAGCTGCAGACAGAGGAAATCATAACTCAGTAGAGTGGTAGCAAAACAAATATCTCAAGGGCACTGACCAGGATTATTTTTAAAGGATTCTACCAGCATCTTTTAGTGTATTTACAACACACAGTTTACATCACTGCTGAGTATTAAGCAACTTCAGAAACATGAACAAGCTTTCCTACTGTTTCAGGCATCTAATCCATATAGTATGAAAATATGTTAGCATGATCTTGAAACTTGCTTCTGTTGTGCAATTAATTACCAAAGACTGACTTTTAAAATAGTGTTTTATAAATATTCTAACATGGAAGGGAGTTGACACTGTTACTCAGAGTTCCCACAGTCATGAAAAACCTGGAAAAGTCATGGAATTTCATAACCACACTTTCCAGGCCTGGAAATCTATACCACTCCCCCTTAACTACTAAAGATGTGTCAGCTCACAGTGCTGTGTGGATTTTACTGACCTTTTATGATACAACAATCTACTTTCAAAAGCAGGTGGCTTGTCTCTCCCTACATTGCTTTTTGTAAAGTACCTGTCATTTCTTCAGACGGTTTCTTCCCCTGTCCCCCAGGGTGAAGTTCACATAATTTTCACAACCACACTTTCCAGGCCTGGAAAAGTCATGGAAGTCAAAGAATTTTGTTGTGTATAATGACACTGTTAGAGTAATCTTCCGTGAATAACCTTCAATGTAATGTAAGATAACAGTAAAATTATTTTCTGTTGCCATCGACATAATGTAGCTCTTACATGCATTAATGTTTGTGTTTCATTTATCATCACATACATTTCGTCTCTCCCTTCAGATATGCCAGCTAGCTGAAATTTTGTCTGAATAGAGTTCCAATCTGATATGTTTAAAAATGCCAGGCAAGTGAGGCAAGACATAAAAAAAATCTTTAATATGGGTCCTTCAAAGTTTTGTAAATGAAAATGTGTGGGAACCCTTAATATTAAGCCCTTTTACACATTATTAATGGCTTAAAATGGAAGACTGTATTTGCTGGAGACTACTCTGTAAAGCATTGGTTCCCTGCTGGTGGGTCATGGTCCAAAAGTGGGTCGTGGGTCCATTCTGAATGGACTGCAAGTGACTCGCAGATGTGTCAAGGTAGTAATAAAAAATGCACTTTATTACAGTGAAAAAAGTGAATTTGACGGCACAGAGATTTTATTTTGAAGTGCTGTTTCCTGCTATAACGGACAGCTACTTGACAGAGACAGCAAACTAGCTTGACCACATGGCCAAACTCAAGTATGACTCTGATTATATTAAACTATGTAGACCTAATAACCAAGGAGAAATCCCGACCCTAGGGTTGGACCAGTTGGGAACCACTTCTGTAAAGATGACTGTAATTTTGGCCTTTATTTTTGGTCATTTATATTTTTGTTGTGAGTTTTCTTTATATAAGGTGTATTATTTAAAGAAAAGGATGATGATACTGTGATCCACTATACCATGTGTACAAAACCAGACTGAGAAATTTCACAACAAACAAGTTTCAAGAGTCTGCTTATTGATTTTGGAGATGCATGGACATACAATTTGTAGTTAAGGAGCTAAAACTTTACAAATGTGACTGAGACGGTTGCTGTTTGTGTGTCTTTCTGTGGAGGAAACCAAACCTATGATGCCAGTGAATGAACAGATGCTTAAGATTTGAAAAGGGGAAATTATTAGGAATGTATCAAGCCAATAATGGGAAAAGTAAGAAAAGGGATTAATTGAATATTTTTTTTAATTTATGTTTTATGAGAGCTAAAATCTGCTGCACACTAAGGAGAGAAACTGTCCAGGCCCTGATGGCAACTATGTGGCATCCTTTCTAAAACAAGGGGTGGACAGAATAAAATTACAACTGTACAATATGATGCAATCCTGTAACACAAATCTCCAATAAATACTACCTTTGTGAAGCTTATATTCAATGCTGGAGTGGGAAAAAATGACTGGAACACTGCAATAAAATGCAATCCAGCACAACAATAAAAACAGTATTAACAAAACCTGAATTTTAGCAACTTTAAAAAATGTGTTTTATAGCGACACTGCTGCGGGTTTGTCTGCAGTGTTTGTAACACACTTTAATAAAATAAAACTACTTAACCCAGGAAAGGCTATATATATATATCTTATGTGACTATAGTTAGGCTGTCATTCATTAACTAAATTGATCAGACGACCAGATGCTTCAGGATTATTGTGGGGGAAACCCTCAGTTGTGTCGGATTGCATTATACTGAACATGTGCTTGTTTACTGTGGATCCACTTTATGTTCCAGCGCTCCTTTCTATAAACAGACATCCTAAAATCACACTTTTTTGTAGTTGTAGTGCCTGAAATTCATTATCCTGTAGCCTTTATTTCTCTAAGTGTGAAGGCCTCTGACAGACTTTGATTTGATCGTCTCCACTGTGATCAGTGAAAGCTTATCCTCCACTTAATTACTAAAAACCTTAAAGATATTCCATGCAGGCTTATAAGTGACTCTGACAAGGCTGTTAATATTGTTTTTTGGCTTGTGTGAATTTTTAAATTAAAGTTTGAGAGCAAACTGTGCTCCTGTTAGTGTTCTTTACCTTTCATTAGCTCACCACAAGGGTGCGTCCTCTCCTCCCTTCCTTGGTGTTTCTGTGTAACCTGGTAATGTGAGGGACTTGTTTTGGTTTATGGAACCAGTGTAGTGTTAAATTATTTGATGCATCCCTCGCTCTCAATCCTCATGCTTTTTAGGAACATGTTTCAGACAACTATGAGCATTAAAATCCCAAATTACAGGCTGCTTAGACACAGCAGCACGAGATGTTCTTTTCTCTTTATCCCACAAACTATATGAAGTAATCAAGGGGAATGTGGGTATCTCTTTTAGGGATGGGGATTGAGAGCCGGCTCCAAATTGTCTGATCTTTGGGAGTCATATGCCTTGGAGCTTATCAGTATTTTTTATTGATGTCGACATGTTTTTCTGATGGATGCTGTTGCAAAACAATGACGTCAAACTTGTGCATTTTAACAGCTGAAAACTTGCAAAACAGAGTCATGGCGGAGGGGAGGAAAGGGTGACTTCATTTCACAAAGATGACAACAGTGTTGCTTGTAATGTGTTCAAAATGATAATGCTTTTTTCTACTCTGTTTCTAGACTGTGCTTAGACAGATATGTTAATAAAACAGAGGTGCTGATGCTGAAAACTCGTGTGGGCCGACCTTTTTCCACAGAGAAATCAATCAGGTATCAGGATAATGGCATTGGTTTCAAGGAAATCTTGTCAATTCCCATTCCTAATATCTTTTGTTTCTGTTAATTATCGTTTGATCAACCTTTATGCTGTTTTAACATGTCTTTTTGTGCATTCATGTAACTGCTACATGCAGAGTTCATTGGCTTGATACTGTTTTTAAAAGCTTGCAGCAAACACTATTACCCAAGTGGGAATAATAAAAGAAATCTGTAGTCTAAAATTAACTGTGACGCGCTTCACCAGAGACGATCTGAGGTCGATGACTAAAGAGAAAGGAGTGTTGTCAGAATGGATGCTCCGTCATGCATCTATGTAAAACCAGGCCCAAAAAAAGGAGTGAACACCAGCAGCTTACCACCTTCTGCGCGAGTCAGGGTTTTTTCATTCCTCAGGGTGCGAGTAGTGTTAGGAATCCATCACACAACAGTAGCATAATCTCTCAGTAACGTCGCTCTGTACCAAAGATTCTCCAGAATTCTCAGTCATGTTATGAAGATTTGATGTGGTTTGATGTGACGGGGCGGCGGCTGGGTGTGTCTATAGCCAGGTGAGCAGGCTGTCTCTGTCCATGTGCGACCCAGAGAGAACAGTCTCCATGTCCATCAGGAGGTCTGAACTGAGACCCTCTGGGATGCAAGGCATTAGCTCCTCGCCCTCAGACATTGGGAGCACAGGCATCGACTCCTGTAAGGTCATCGAGGAGGCCTCGCTGGAGTCGCCTAGACAAAACATGACTGTGGTGAGGATTTAAATATCGACGGTGAGCTTGGAGGAGCTAAATATATGCACAAATATAGATAAATAAATAGGACACATATAAATAGGAATCATCGTGGCACTATTTGAATGCTACTTGAGGAAGAGCACAAAGCCTGCAATGCACTGCAAACCACAGAAGCTGCCAGGCTGTATCTTCTCTGTGTTTCTTATGCCATTAAATGTATTTTTTGTACATGTAAATGGCATATTAAATGTTCTAACTCTTTCTTTGTATTATTACTGACCCATTTGGGTATGCTGTTTTTGTGGATTAAAAAAATAAAATAAAACAACTGGATTCATACTTCTGTGTTCTGCATCGACGTAGAGCCATGCTGTAATGTACGCCGCAGCCTGACCTGCACCTCCCCAGACATGTAACTACAGGTCGCAGGGATGCAGACCTCCTGTCTATATTAGTAAGATTAAAACCATTTCCCTCAGTGGAAACAAAGCTTTTATTTACTTTATTTAACAGATCAGAAACAATAAATTGTGAAGACAATAAAGCCTCCACAAAACAGTGTTTTAAGTCTTGTGTGTGATTTATCCTGGCTTCATATGTGTAGAGGAAATGTCTGCTAGTCACTAGGCTAATCTCTACAATGTAAAATGCCATAGGCTTGTGCTAATAATGTTAGCTTGTTGTATTTGTTAGGAAAACATGTTTAAATTAAGACAGTTGTTTTGTTAGTGGATCTTGTGAGTTGTAATGGAAACAAATTTTGTAACGTTATCTTTATTAAATGTTGCTGTTGTCCCTGGCTTCATACGAGTAGAGGAAACTTTTGCTAGCCACTAGACTGTAAAGTAAAATGCCATAGGCTTGTGTTAAAAACATTAGCATGTTGTATGTGGGGAAAATGTGTCTAGAAAAAGACAAGTGCTTTGTCTGTGAACTTATTTTAGTGAAGCTGATTTGTGTACTTTTGTTTTTGAAACTGATGCAATTATGCCATGTTTAATGTGTGTGCAGAATGACACGGACACACCACCGGTCAAGTATAAATGCTTGCAATGGCATAGACCGTGTGTGTAGGGCTATGGCGTAGGTTCTACGTAGAGTATAAATCCGTTGGAACTCTGCATTGTCTTGGAAATGTTACTGTCACAGGGAATCATTTTTTCTCTATGAACTATACCAGAAGCTACTGGAAGGCCAGTGAAAAAGTCAGATTTTACAACCAGTTCCTAAAGCATGCCATAGCTCTTAGCTCTAAGACAAATAATTTTAAGTACTACAATTGAAGTCAACATTATGGCATTATAGCTGGCTAAATTTGTGACACATTTACTCTTAAAATCCCCAAATAAACTGCTTCTCATTGGGTGTATTGTACAATTATTTAAACTCATGTCACATCTGGACACCATGTTCAGAATACACATTCATAAATGTTGTTTGTAGTGATGACTTTCCACTTTGCCCCGCTACCATCTTTCTGAATTTAGTGTGTGCATGTTTGTGTGTGTATTACCAGTGTCCATGTGATCCACAGAGCTCAACATGTGGTCCGACGTGCGGGGTAAGCTGCTGACGCTCAGACCGCTGTCAGTGCTCTCATTACGGGAGTGAGCGCTGGCCAAGAACACAGACATGTAAACATTCCTTTAAATCTGATCGTCATCTGTTGAAAACTAGAATGACCAGAAGAAACTCTGCACTGAACTGACACTACACTTTATGGGAATTACATATACAATAATTCTTAGTTTTCACTGACACTACTCTGTAATAGATTGCTGTTTTGACATTTTAACATTGTTTAGATTACTATTTTTCCACTTTTGTCCCTTAAAAGGGCATAGACGTCGGAACTAGGGGTGCGGGGGGTGCGGCCGCACCCCCTCCCATCCGCACCCCCGCACCCCAGCCTCCCTACCCACTGCATTACGCTTTAAAAAAATAAAGAATCTGAATTTAAACTCAATTTGTCTGACTTACATTTATCTCTTTCATATCATTAATGCATAGATCTATGCTTTTGATGTAATATGCAACCTGCCTGACTACATACAGTAGCCTTGGCATCCAGGATGTTGTGTCCATCCTGCAAACCTTGCAGCCCCAAACCCGCTCCAAGCTGTCGGAGGTGGAGAAGCTCATTAAGCTCTGTCTGGCCCTGCCCTGCATCCGAGCGCTCTTTCTCAGCCTTGCGCAGGCTGAAAACCTGGCTGCGCAACACCATGATGACGCAGGAGAGACTAACACATTTGGCCATTATGAACGCTCACAGTGACCTTATGGATAAAAGCGATGTCTCAACCCTGCTTAAAGTCTTCATCAGTAGGTCAACTGAGAGAAGGTCCACTTTTGGAAATGCATGAAAGCTCTGAGGGCCGAATTCACAAAGAATGAACTGCGGCCGCTGATAGCACCTTGAATTGCACTTCATTGCACCCGCAGTTTGCTCCGTCTTAACGTCCTATTCACAAAGGATATTGCGCTAATGATATACCAGCGCAAACACTCCCACAAAGTTTGGCAGCTGAGTGCAGTTTGCCCCTGATTTGCCCCTGATTGCAATAAGCCACACATGGCAAAGTTATTTTTTTTCACTTAACTGCGTGTGGCTATTAGCACTGATATTAATCAGACTTTGTTTGGCAAAATACTGAATACTGTATACCCTCATGTAGTGATGTCTGCTGGTGAGTCAGTCTAACAGTGTCGGATAGGTTGAGGCTGTGGATTTGACCACTTTATCACAATTCCCTCTCACTTGTAGCTGTTTTTTTCATTATCTTTTGAATTTAATATGAATTATGGAACCATTTTTGTTCACGTTTGTTTCCCCCGTTTCGTAAAATAAATGATTGAATGTTGCTTTTGAAGTGCGTGACAGAAGTGCGTTTTGAGAACGACCGCAGACTGTCACCTGTTCAACGCATCACTATCTTCGGATGCCATTAAAGTAATAATGATTATAATAATAATAATAATAATAATAATATCAAAATATTATTTACAGACTGATTTAACAGACGATCGCTGCTGCCACGATCACTGGAAAGCCTGGGCGAGAGGCTTCCACAGAGGAGCGCCCAGTTTGCACCAGCTTTCTAAAGACGTTATTTACTTCACTCAACCTGCGTGTGGCTATTAGTGCTGGTGTTAGTGAATTAGACGTTGTTTATCAATGAGGCTCATTTGCATAAATATATATTATATTTTTGTGCCAAATATATGCATATTACCTCATTTAAATACGTGCAAATAACACCGGAGCACCGAGACGCAATCTGCTTGGCAGCGCAGTTAGTGGAGCATTTCACCCTCTGCCGCGTGCTTTGTGAATTAGACGGTATCTGTTTGCTCCATTTTTACCGGTTTAGCGGCCGCAAAAGCCACGCAATCCTTTTGTGAATTCGGCCCTGAGTCAGGAGCGCAGACTTTTCTTTTTTACATTCAAGGTTACAAATAATGTTATGTTCCTTAAATGGCTTGATTTAGTTATCAAAGTTTCATTTTCTTAACAATAAAGATGCAGTGTTCATCCATTCTAGTTCTCTTAAAACTGCATGTTATTATAAAATAACTTCAAATCAAATCCTTAATCATTGATAAGTGTGCGTGCTTCCCCCGCCCCTCCCAACAAAAATCCCGCCCCCCCCTCTCAGAAAATAGTTCCGACGTCCATGTAAAAGGGTAGTTCAGATTTTTGGAGAAGTGGCAGGAGTGCTGACACAGAAGCTAAGCAATTTACTGCTGGGAACAGGGGCAACAGCAAAATGTATTTTAGCCACCTTAAAAAGTCCCACCAAAAAAACTCCACATATTGAGGCCATAATGAGGATATTTTTACCACTTAATCTTTCCGTCAGACAGCCAGTTCTGACGGTTAAGCTGTTCCCCATCTATGCTCTCTTCAAAGTCACCAGACTCCATTAACAAAAACAGTAATTTTGACTCGCTGAACAAAGGAGTTACTGGTCTGCCACTGCCTAGAATGGTTAGTTTGTTTGTGTTATTGTGCAACTTTGGTGAATCCGAAGTAACCGTTTAAAACGACTGAGTCATGTAATAATACAAACAACAACGGATTGAGGCAGTGGTAGACCAGTTGCTCCTGTGTCCGGTGATGTTAAATTACTGTTTTTCTCAGTGGAGTCTGGCTTTGAAAAGAGCGATATAACAGCTTCTATTGCCCTTCAGAAATTGCTGTCTGACGGCAAGGTCGTACACTTTAACACATACTGAGGTGGTACTTTTTTAGGTAGCTAAAATAGGTTTTGTTGCTGACCCACTGACAGCAGTAGATTGCTAAGCCCCTATGGCGGTACTCCTGCTTGCCTCTCCAAAGTGGGGGCATACCGACTCACATCTACTGTATGTAATACACTAACTGTGGATAAGTACCTCATACAACCAAACTTCAAAAAATCGAAACTATCTCTTCAATGACATGTGACAGCTATTTGACAATAAAAATAAATCTACAGTGCATGACAATAATCTTAAACATGAACGCACCCATTTAGTGTGGGTTCATGGTTTGAGCCTCTGATTCTGACATCCAGAGACGGGACAAGTGTCTGTGCGTTCCTGTCATGGTCCATCCCACCGGGCATCTGGTTCCTTCCTCCTGCCTCCTATAACAAACAAAGGTTTGCATAATGTCATGTTAAACTCAAACTGTGCTTGCATGAAACAATAACTCAATTACTGTGAAATCTGAACTGAATAAACAGCCTACAACCAGATAATTCAAGACATAACTTAAATGTAAGACAGCTTGTGTTGCGTGATACAAAAATGAAACCTTTGAGTTTTGGGCGGCACATCCAAGTCAAGTTTTATTTGATCTCTGACCTGTGAGATTTGCGGAGGGAGGCCTTGTTTGCATCTAAGCCTTTCCTTTTCCTGCCTTTGCTGCAGTGCCAAGCCGAGGATGCCAGGGTTCATCTTCTGGGCTGGAACATAAAATTCATAGGAAAACAACAATTTTGACAATTAAGTTAACATTTCTACGAGTTTCAACATTTCAGCAATGACATATATGAAGAAAAGTACTGAAAACTTTGCGATCTTTCTTATGTTTCGTTGCCAAACAGCAACTTCTGATGGTGGACATTGGAACAAAAAAAAAGCTTCTCATTGACAAACAAGAATTGTCAATTCAGGAGACACAAATTTGATAGTGTGCTACCTAGACGCGGGTCGACCCATGAGGTGGTCTTATTTATGTGATCGATGTAGTACACCTCTCCATCTGCAGTCACAGCCTTCTCCCAGCCTTCAGGCAGTGGACCTGAACAGCAGTGAAAGTACACAGTGAGAAGGCAAATGGTGGATGGAGTGCATGGAGCGTTGAGAGGAGAGAAGTAAAAATCTGGCCCACGTCCTTTAATGTCTGTGAAACTTGTAGGTTGTAGAGGTTTAATATACAGAGGGGAAGGTTAGTGGGTAAAGAGCGACAGTATAGTTCTGTAGAGTAAAAATGTACTGACCTATGTGCACCTGAATGCCATAAAGTATGCAACACTGCTCTTTGTGGGAAAAAATGGATACTCTTAAAGGGTCAGTTCAGCCAAGTTACAAAATTAAAATTCAATAGCGACAGCTCCTGACAGAACCATTGTCCCCATTATTCTAAATAATCCAGATTATTCCTATTGATTTTTGATGATATACATTCTGGAGCATTTGCATTGGGACTATTTGTTCAGTAGAAAGTAGTTCCAATTAAAACTGTTCACAGCGAGGATTATCCACAGTGGCCATGACATTGTTTCTGGAAAAACACTTAAAAAATTTTTTTTTAAAAAAATCAAACCTAGATTCATTGACATTTTACTATTGAACAGTTGTTGATGAGAGCAGTGAGAGTGAACCAAAACAGTTAAGTTTGCGGCTTGAAAACAAAGAGTTGAAGGGTGCTACATTGGTCTGTAGAGCTGAGGGGAACTGCGGAGTTGGGTGGTCACTTTCGGTGGGTTCACCACTTCCAGTGACCTCTTTGACATACAGATAGTCATGCAATACATTGTCAACATAAACAAAAAGATTAAAGCTGCTTTAATGGTGTTTAATTGTTTTTACATTTCAGTACAACAGGTGCTGCAAATTATTTTGACTCACGCTAGGATTGTGCCGAAGCGTGGAACTGCCATGCCAGAAAAAAACAGATCAGTATCAGGTAATAACATGAAAAGCTTCCTTTTATAACAAGATATTTTTAGAAGGTATTTTATTGTTATTACATGATACGTGCTAATGTTATTATAATAATAATTCTTTTTATCTATAAAGCGCTTTTTAAAACAGAGATACAAAGAGCTTTACATGTCAGAAAAGACATGTCCGAGGACCTCAAAGTACTAAGAGGTTGGAAATATAGCTGGGAGACAAACAATAAAATCAGTAAAATTTTAAAATCTATTCTAAAACATACTGGGAGCCCGTGTAAAGAGGCTGAAACTGGAGTGATGTGATCATGGCTCTTGGTTCTGGTTAAAATTCTGGCAGCTGAATTCTGTACAGTCTGGAGTCGATTATGTAAAATGTTTCACGTTATTACAAGATAAATAAGTATATTGTTGTAATGTTACGTCAGTAATTAAACAATAATCAGGTGCCCATGTGCACAAGGTAACAGTTGCTTGCTGTAATTATTCCTCCTGTTCATAATGGATACAATATGATCCCTTTCTGACACACCTCCACTTTAAGTTATGGGAGACAAAATCCACTAAAATCCAATGCACATCCATGGATGAATCTACAAGTAACCCAGTATGAACAGGAGCAATTATTACATTCATTCATTCATTTCCTGTAATTGCTTATCCTGTAAGGAGTCGCGGGGGCTGGAGCCTATCCCAGCTGACACTGGGCGAGAGGCGGGGTACACTGTGGTCACCAGACTATCACTGGGCTGATACATAGAGACAGACAACAACTGGACAATTTAGAGTCAACAATTAACCTGCATGCCTTTGGACTGTGGGAGGAAGCTGGAGTACCTGGAGAAAACCCATGCTGACACGGGGAGAACATGCAAACTCTGCACAGAGGGGTCTCCCCACCCCAGGGTTTGAACCAGAAACTATTGCTGGGAGGCGACAATGCAAACCACTGCATCACCATGCCGAAACAGTTGTTTTCATATCCTAACGGGCACCTGACTATTGTTTAAAGAAATGACTTTCGTTTCATGACACCTTGTCTCCGTCTCTTTTTACTTTTCATTTCAGCTCTTTATTGTTTATTTTTTGTTAAAGCAAAAAGCTATCATGATTTGTTTTTTTGTAATTTGGTTGAACTGACCCTTTAAAATTTTGACATGCGTGCAATTATCTCAAAGACAGCAACAGTCCAACAAGCTCTCTCATTTTAGGGGGATGCTCTCTGAAAGCTCTCTTCTATAGCGGTTTCCATCAGGCTGTAATCTACAGTATGAATGTTATAGTTCCCATCAAAGTCACCAGAGCCATGGATGTAGAGACCAAAAAGGAAATCCCAAAGAAATCACAACCAGCAGCAAAGACCTGGCCCACGGTGACGGAGTTGAACTGTGAAAAGCAGGTCTATGCCTTTTAAAAGAAACTGGACAGTAAGAAGGGCGGGGGGAGCAGAGTGATACCTGTCTCTGGATTGATGTTTTGTGGTTGTGTAGTGGGTGCTGGGTTGCTGAGAGAGTGGGCGTGGACCGGAGGGCCAGGGATGGGATGCTGAGACGCAGCCGACTGAAGCTGCGCAAGTCGAGGGTCGTGCCAAGTGGTTGTCTTTTCCAGGTGACTGCGAACACACAACAAGTCTAAACGTATCTGCATCTGTCAAAAACCACTGCAACCTGATGGATAAGAAGCACGAGGCACGTATTAACCCCGGACCTGCTTTACCTGTACTACCAGTAGCCTTTGACAGGAGTGTGAGCTGTCAGGCCATGTGCTCTCGTGAATGAAACTGGCTGAAACCACACGGGTTGCAAAACTAGTTGGAACGTTTTGTTTGCATGGTACTGATTAGTCTGAGTCCTGGTTATATGTGCACTGCTGCACTTCTGTTTCCCTGTACTTGTAACTGTAGTCCCTCTGTGACGAAATCTTAAAGAGGTAACAGCATAAGACTCCAATAAACATTTACAGAAACTCCTCCTGGTGCATTTAAAATGGGATTAGTGCAGGAATGATTGGTTGATTTAATCATGTCGATAAAATTTTGATATTTGAATCATCTTTAAACAGGCATCAAGCAAAAATGCTTTAAAATTTGCTGGTCAGCCTCTCAAATGTGCAGCATTTCTCAATTTTATTTCATTATTTGTTGAACCTCTTTGATGTGTGGACAATCAGCAAGCTGTCTGAAGACACTGCCTTGAGCTTTGGGACCTTGTGAGGAGTATTTTTCACTATTTAATGATTTAAAGATGAGAATGTTAGACTCTTTGGGTCTTTCTAGAGAGAAACCCTTCAAGTATCCTGCAGTGCGACAGATCAAACACATTGATAAACAGAAGTTAGACCTTACTTGAGAAAGTAACGTTGGCCAGTAGGTGTTTTGGCCATTTCCCAACCGTGGGGGAGTGGCACGTCGTCAGGTATGATCGGTGCCGCCGCTACATCTGCTGCTTGAGTGGAGAGGGAGTTGACTGGGAGGGAGGCAGGGGAGGAATGGGCGCGGACGTGATGAGGAGTGAGGGAGCCGCACACGCCTCCATCCGAACTGGCCTGACGGGAAACAAGCAGGGTTAACAACTCCCACAACGAGTCACTAACAGCAACCAGAAACATAAACCAACAGGAAGAAAAAGCTTGGATAGTAAACAGAGAGAGCCATGGTGCTAAAACAAATACAGTTTTATTATTTCTACCAAGACGTTTACGGTTGTTAGTCCAAAATCTTTGACAAGCTTATCACGTAGTTCTTTGTGAAATCTCGTGAACAGATCATTTACTAGCTCATTAGATTTGTAGTGCTGATGGAGTTTCACAAATTTCAGGAATTATAATGTTCGAGCCACATCTGCAAATCTAAGAGATAAAGTCAGTGTGTGTTTGCAGGTCATGAAACAAATAACGTAAAATTTGGAGAGACAGCATTGTTTGTATCAGCCAGTTGGGATTTTAGTGTTTGTTTGTTTGTTTGTATAGGGACATGTATGTAGCATAAAAAAAGCCCCACACACCACAGCATTTAGCATAAGCTAATTTGCAAAGCCTGTGGAAGTACTGGTGAAACTCTGTGACTGCTTTCTAGTCTGAGGGGGATCAGCCAAAAATGTGACCTGGACATAACCATGAAAAATACTAGAATTAACTCTCACTGTGGCATCAACATCAGATATATACCTTAACTGCATCTAGGAAGATGGGTTCCTTGGGGAAAACTCTTCATCACAAACACCTTTAAGAGATGGTTTACCCCAAAATCAAAAATACATATTTTCCTTCTTACCTGTAGTGCTATTTATCAATCTAGGTTATTTTTGCATAAGTTGCCTAGAGATATCAGCTGTAGAGATGTGTGCCTTCTCTCCAATATAATGCTACTAGATGGCACTTGGATTTTGGACTTTATGCTGAATTAAAAAACAAGACGTTTAAAGGCACCGTGTGGGCTGTGGGAAATTGTGATTATTTTTTCCACTATTTCATTAACCAAGCAAACAAATAATACAAAAATAATCTTCAGACTTAATAATGGAAATTATAGTGAGTCTAAACATTTATTGTGACTTAACTTAATTATCTAATTGATCAATTTCAGGACTTCATTGTATTGAGTAACCCTGGTATTTTGTTTCTCTAAGGTAGGCCATGAGAAGGGAGATAGACAAAATATTAATGAAACATCATTCCATATATTTCCATACGAGAACACCTACCAACTACTGAAATACAGCAGGTATGAGATTTTATTACAGCACATTTCTTTTATTCTGGTCGGTCACTTTATATTACAGGGCTACTGTACTGAGTACAGTAGCCCTGTAATATAGTCCAGTAGTGTTGATAGGCCTGGGTGTCTGAGACTTCAGACCTGAATGTTTCAATAGCCCCAGACATGTGCATAAATATAGACAGCGCAGGCAGTGCGGTTGCACTTGAGCCCGTGGGGTGGGTGGTTTTCTTTTTGTAAAATACTAAGTAGTGATCTATATCAAATTATATGCTTATTCTATATAAACTACAAAAACCATGAATAAACTATATATTTAAAAACTATTCAATTAAATGAGTAATTTCTTATTTTCTTTGATATTTTTGTCATACACAGGTGCAATGATGCATGTTGGGTAACATGTATGTTGGTGTTGCCTAATGTCAAGTCTCTATTTGATCATGTGAAAAGGCGTTACGATACAGTAGCTAGTTTAGGTGCAAGTTCAAGAAGCAGTCATGCCTTTTAAGCATAAAAGTGGCAGTAAGAAAGGACAAGAGAGAAATGAACAAGAGGAAAAAGTAGCAAAGCTCCCTAAATTTGATTACTTTGGCTTTTTTATAAACAGTTGCCAGTTGTGTGTGTGTGTGTGTGTGTGTGTGTGTGCGAGCCTTACAAATAGTAACTAGTGTCACAATAGTGTGCACTGGGACCCATGGTGATTACCTTACCTCAGCCTTGGGTCTAAATATATTGGCTATATGTATATTTCAAAAATAAGTAAAGGTCTAATAATCAAAACAAAAAGCCCCCTAATTAATAATCTGTCATTCTGTATTAAAGCTGATCACAAACAAAAATTTTGTGTCATTTAAATTGGCATCTTCTGTGATCGCATGCAATGGAGGGAGTGCAGCAGTAATCACTTTAATGTTGAAGGCTTTATATATTACTGGGTAGTTAAATCTATAATAATACTTTAGCATTTATAAATTGATTATATTTTGTATCATTAATCTGAGTTTTCAAAGTAACTAAAGCACACAAATAAATGTAGTGGAGTTAACAGTACAATAGAGGAGTACAAGTAACTGACAGCGTCATTAACAGGCGGCTCGCTCAGTGTGACGTGCACTTGTAGATAAAATATAGGCCTATATTAATGAAGGTTCATTAGTACGGTTTTGTATTTCTCTGTAATGTAGCACAGTGTTAACAATGTTACTGATACTGTTCTTTCTCACACCTTGAACTTCAACCATTGTGTTGCCCCGCCCAAAATATATAACTTAATAATTAAATTATTGTAAACATGCGGGCTAATGGCCCCACATGATGACTGTTGGTTGACTGGAAAATTCTTGGTCAAAGGCAGCCCTAGTTAAATTATTTTCTATTCAGTCCATAGGCTAAACATTTTTATAAATGAAGAGTGTGAAAGTCACTTTAGGCCAGCAATGATGAAATGAAAATGAAAATATTTAAGTAACCATTATTAATTTCTATACAACTCTTTGTCAAAGCTACAGGAGGCCACTGGAGAGGAGCCAAAGAGCCACATGTGGCTCCAGGGTCACAGGTTGCCTACCCCTGATGTAGGGGAAAATAACGTTTTTAAGGGTTAATAATAGGACTGTAACAATCGATCAGTCTGGATCAATATAGAGATTAAATGATCAACGATCCAGTATCATCAATGCAAAGTGAAATATTGATCCATATCGTCATCTTCAGGATACGCTTTTATCTTGAAAAAGTAAAACAGCGGCAAGCAGACGACAAGCAGCCAAGAAAAGGACGAAGAGGATAACGTTATCAACTCGGGAATAAATCAGCAGTGTTGAAATATTTTTCAATTTCATTTTTACAGGTCAACAGACCGAGTATATAGTGTGTGTAAACAATGCTGTTTGGGGCGTCGGTGTCTTAGTGGTAGAGCAGGCACCCCATGTACAAGGGCAAGGCTGTTGCCGCAGCGGCCCGGGTTCGAGTCCAGCCTGTGGCCCTTTGCTGCATGTCATCCCCTCTCTCTCTCCCCCTTTCACACTTAACTGTCCTGTCCATTAAAGGCAAAAAATGCCCAAAAAATATCTTTAAAAAAAAAAACAATGCTGTTTTAGGGCCAAAAGCAAAAACAGAAAGGGGTGGCAGCTTCTGTAACTGACTTTGTTAAATGGGGAGATAATATTGTTTCATATTAATTGCAGGCCCTTAAATCACATCGAATCGTAAATTCTATCGTGGCAGACATTGTAATACCGGCAAACATTGCATCGTTGTTGAAAGAATCAGTATGACATCATATTGTGATGAAACTGGTGATGTACACCCCCTGTAAATAAGAGGCCAGAGTTCATTAAAAAAGCATCAAGGGGTGGACCCCCCAAACAAAGAACAGGCAGCCCCTAGAAACGCCCCTGCTCCAGTGTACAGTCTAGGCTACTGTTCAGTGTGGGTGATGTAGTTGGAGGTGGACGTGTGGACACACGAGTGTTTGCTGTGTAAACCAGCATGGTGCAGTGCGCAGCAGTTACTTGTCTGGAGTGGCCCCGTGAGTCCGGCTGCCTGAAGAAGGAGTCCGGCAGCTTCCTCATCCTCATGGGCAGAGAGGACGGCTGTCTGGCCGACTTGCTGGGGTTCATCACGGCGCTGAAGAGGGCCTCCAGCTCCGTCTGCGAGTCCCCGCGGACGTGCACGATCTGCTGCCCGGCCGGAGGCGCGCCGCGGTGCGCGTCCATGTCGCCCAAAGTTTGGTGTCGAAACAAATCTGTCAACAAAAGTTCAATCGCACAAACAAACAGAGAGAATAAACGTCAGGCCCGTTAATACCAGATGCGCTTGCAGTGCTGAGAGTTATGATCGGATTTGTTTACACTTTTAAACCCCCCACCCCCACCCCATTTGAACTTTTTGTGTCCTTGTCTGTCTGTTTCAAGCTGTAACATCTCGGAAGTCACTCAGCCGTGAAAATAAACTCAATCATCGGGTATATAAGTCGATTGAGCGCAATATAAAGCAGTGATCGTTGACTTAAGTCAATCTGAGCAGCGTACAACACGTTACATGCCTCCCACATACCTTCAAGCAGCCAGACCGTTTCCCCCCTCTCTCTCTGTCTCTGCGTATTCCTGCAGGGAAAAAAATAAATTGGAGAAATCACAGCCGGGAAATCACTCAGACGGACTCTGATTTCCGATGCAAACCTCCACCTAAAAGCCTCCTCAAGTTAAAAAAAAAAAAAACATAAGAGAAGTTGGAGAAAATGATTTCAGCGAGACCTCCAAACTTTTTTCACATCCACTGTGGAGTCCAGATTCATGTGATAGTGCTGCTGAGGGGCGGGGTTGCAGGGTTTAAAGCTGCCGCAGTTACAGGGGGAAATATTTGAGTCTGAACACAGACATAAACCATCAACACAAGACTTAGTCTCAGTTAGGCTATTTATTGCTGTTGTGTTCAAAGCTCCATATGCATCAAAAGAGCCACTTTCAGCCTTTAAAATGAGAAGAAATCAGTGCTATTAGAGTCACCTAATATCCTTTGGCCGTGCTTTAATTCTCCTCTGTGCAGTTTCCAGTTAGTGCGGTTTTCTCCTGCTGAAGGAAAGAGGCAGAGGGCCAAGTGTAGGCAGAGGTGACAGGAGACAGCTTAAGATGATATACAAGAGAGGGAGACATCAGCCTGGAAGTCATTTTTCGTGCCTGGGTCTACTCTGGTTTTTAAGGGGTTGGGGTTGGGGAGGGGAGTTTGGGAAGTTGCACTGAGAAAACATCCGCCCCTGATGAGGCCAACCCAGCCGGAGCCTGTTTGTCCATGCAGCCGCAGCCACAGTGTCCTGCCCTCTAGTGGAAAACATGCGCACAGTGAGTCGGAGCTCAGCTGGCCAACAGATTGGATTCATGAAAAAATGTCTGCCTGGACTGGTGTTATTATCCTCTGCACAGTGCATCCAGTAACATATTCAGTTATTGAGTCACAGTGGACATTATTCAACTGTACACCTCTTGAATGTATAACTTACTGAGACCTGAACTTCTGTGTGGTATGCTTTTTAAATTTCTCCTAGCTATTTGGGATCAATAGGACCTGATAAGTATAACACATTTACATTGTCAACGATAATCAAGTCCCAACGCCTTCAAGCGAGGCGATTGTCGTCTTGTTTGAGGACATTGGGACTTTATCATCAAGATAATCAAGTCCCAGTGTCCTCAAACGAGACAATAATCAAGTCCCAACGTCTTCAAAGGAAATGATACTAAAGTCCCAACGTCCTCAGATGAGTACTTCCTAATTAACAGCTTGTTACTGTTGCTAAAAATGGTCAAATTTGTTGCCATATCAAACTATAAACATTATTAATCGTAAATAAACACGTTTCAACCATAAAATGTGATCAGGTTTTGTAGCTTGTCCACTTCTGTGTCGGGATCAGCTGCAGACTGACTTGGCAGAGATGTCTGCCATCTTGTTTTTACATGGATTAGTGTATTGTGGTCTTGCTCATGAAGATACCTCTCCTATTAAATAACAACAATCATACATAGAAAGAAATGGATAAAAACAGAAATTGCATAATTGAATAAGAGTTCCAGACTAAGAAGTATTTAAAAATGAGTAAAGATGTACAATTTACAAAAAACCCACAAACGTATTACAAATAAATCAATGAAGTGTTGAGAGTTTTAGCAAATAAGAGTCCTTGTCAGATGTGTTTTGAATAACGATAATGTAGAGGATGAATGCAGAGATGGGAGAAGACTGTTCCAAAGAGATGGTCCTCTGTATTTCAATGGTGGAGTTTTTCATTTCTAAAGGGAATGACAAAATTGATAAATAAATGTAACTACACAAATGCACCCCTTAAAAAGCAACTGACTGCTATTGTTCATGATTTTGAACTCATGCTGTGCAGCCAAACATTGTTCAAACCCACAGAACTTTATTTCAGCATCCAGTGAAGAGTATGTCGGGTTCAATTTAAGGAAAAGGATATGTATAAAATAAAAAAGAGTATTGCTATTTCAGTGACTGTTGCCACTGTCAAAACATGCAGTCTTGTTTTTAAATATTTCACTGAGTGTAAACATCATGAGGCTTCAACTGATATATAGAACATATCTTGCAATTTACTGCCATTTCAGCTTCAAATGACGCCCCAAAAGGAAAACAGTAACATCTGTTTTACTATGAAGTTTTCAGTCTGTCCAGCTCACTTCAACTATTTTCAGTGTGGCAAACTGTATCTAGTGGGCTATGAAAGTAATTGATTTTATTATTCTGGTAAGCCACCAAGCGTTTAATATGTATTTTGTAATATTAATGATTAATGTAATTAAAAAAATCAATACTTGCCATGCAAAAATATTGCAATACTAGACTGTAACGATTTTCCCTCCACCCCTAATATACACAAAATGTTCATTCGCTCAAGGGAAAACATCAGGAGGAAACTTGTTATTTAATAGGTATTATTCTTAGGATTTATATTTAGATTTTAGCGGTTGGTTCCAAGTGTATTTTTTAATTTGCTAGCTGTCATGATTTACATGCCTCTTTGGAGTCTTGTGCTCACATTTTGCTAATCTTAGTTGTAGTAGTTGGGCATCCATAAAATTTTACACATTTTCAAGTGCTGATTGATGTTTATTCTGTGTTAAATGATCCGTTTAACCAATTACAATAAAAATATTTTCATGTTTTGTCATTCTAATCTGGTATCTTTAGGTGGCAAAATGTTTTATGAGCTTTATCTAAATAATGAAAGAGGAAATCCTACATTGTGTTGATTCAGCAAAAGACTCATTCCTGAAACTGTGTGCTGATCAATGGCAATCAGATTCAGTGCAGTTGTGTGTGTGTGTGTGTGTGTGTGTGTGTGTGTGTGTGTGTGTGCATATGCCTCTGATGTTTTCAGCGCATACATTTACCAGAGTGTGACTGATACAGTTCTGGGAATACTTCCTGTCTGTATCCATGAAGAAGCTGCATAAATTGGGAGCGGAGAGAAAAGGACTGCAGATAATTTCAGCATCCCTGCCCACTCTGAAACCATCAGTCTCAGATGTGTTAAACCTGTGTGAGTCCATCAGTCAGCTCACCAGCTTCTTCTTCTTCTTCTTCATCAATACACCAATATATTATAGCTAAATAAAAGTATAAAGACTGTCTCATTAAGCATCGTACTCTGTATGAAATGTTTTTTATATGCGAGGTCCAGTCATCAGCCATGTGACAGTATGTACGGTTTGTAAATTGTCAGTTGTGTCTGTGTTGAGCTGCACCCTGGCAACGAGCAAAAGGTCAGCACAAGAATAACTGTGATGTAATACAAACCACAGTGCAGCAGATGGCACTGTTACACCTCAACACCTGTAATATATTTTGTTTTTCATTACTTTCATAATGATCCACAAACACAGTGCAGCTGTTGTTGCAGTGGAGGAGGAACAGATGTCGGTTATGTAACTGTTTCTCTGGTCTTGTGATTATTACCTCCGCAGGATTTCTTAAGAACGTAATCATCCCTACACTGTGTGCTTTTTCATCAGTGCTCTTACACTGCCACATGCAACTTACCAGGTGCCTCACAACACAGCACATATAAAGCAGCCAGAGTGGTTAATTGGTCTAATTTATCCAGGCAAGTCAGTTTATTCTCAAGTATTAATTTAGGAGCTCGGGACTGAACCCTGGAGAGCATTGAAGAGGGTAATGTCAAAATTAAAGCAAAAACAGAGTGATGAAGCGAACATTAAGGAACCAAAATAACTTTAATAACCACTCCAGCAGACAAAAACACTTGGTGATGTCATTTAAACCCCCACTTTCACCTTAATTTGACCTTTCAGTTACAGGCAACTTTTGTTAAACAACCAACACAGTTTGATTTTACATTTAGGTTCATAATATTTCTCTTAGATGCACAAGTTTTATAGAAAGTATACATATTTATTCAGTTTTCCAATGCAACACTTGAGAATTTTAAGTTGCATTAATATCATTTTCTTTCTGCTGGTTTGGTCAGCCAGCACATATGTTCCCCTCGTGTGTTGTTAGTTAAGTCAGGTTGCCTTTGGTCCTTTTACACAGAGATCACACGATTGGGCCGCTATGATGTCACTTCTAAGTGCTGCATTTGCATTTTTACACAGAATCAAAGAACAGCAGCATCATGCTGCTCAAGTGTGATGTTTTAGACAGCATGTCACCATAGTGGAAGCAAAAGCAGCATGACATATAACAAAACATCATTTGTCTCACTATGTGACACATAACATATAGGTCAGCAGTGCTTTATAATCAATCAATCAATCAATCAGTTTTATTTATAAAGCCCAATATCACAAATCACAATTTGCCTCACAGGGCTTTACAGCATACGACATCCCTCTGTCCTTTGGACCCTCACAGCGGATAAGGAAAAACTCCCCAAAAAAACCCCTTTAACAGGGAAAAAAAAAAAACGGTAGAAACCTCAGGAAGAGCAACTGAGGAGGGATCCCTCTTCCAGGACGGACAGACGTGTAATAGATGTCATACAGAACAGATCAGCATAATAAATTAACAGTAATCCGCATGACACAATGAGACAGAGAGAGAGAGAGAGAGAGAGAGAGAGAGATGCAGGTAATGACAACAACATTATTGAAAGTAATAATAATAATCAATAACAATGGCATAACATGACAATACAATCATTTACTGTCCCTATTAAATGGCGGCTGATCTCGTCCTTTGCTTGGAGGGTAATGAGCTCTCTGACCCCATTTTGTTCCAACTTGACAGACATGTTTGGCCTCTGTTCTTCTTCTTTGAGTTAGCCGCTAACTGCTTCTAGCTGCTTTTTATATCTCCCGCATGCACAAGGCCCTAAACCACAGAAAGTGTTTTGCAGCTTGCAAAACATGAGGCGCACCACATTGCCTTTTTAAAAAAAACATTTGCATGCCACCAGTAAAAAACGCTTGTTGCACCTTTTAATAGGCAACCACCTCATCATGTCCTTACACTATCCTTCCTATGTGATCAATGTACCCTTTATTTATTTATTTTTTTCACAGTTATTAGTATCTAGTTCCTAAAATGTTGAGGCAGAGGGTGCTTGCTGTAGCTCTGGTTGAGGGTGAGAGGCTATCAGGAAATAGTTTGCTGGTCACAGGGAAACAGAGATCTGTGTGGGTACATGAGACCCTAAAAAAGAGGGTGGATCACGGGGAGTACCACCAGATGGTCCATGAGCTTCTCCTCGATGATGGCTGCTGGGGGCAGTTTGCATCCTGCTGTCTATCGTTGTGCCACATAGCTCTGGGTATCCAGCAAACGCTACCAACTGCTACCACCAGTTTCTCCTCAATTGTT